AAAAAAAAAAGGCCTGAAGGCGCTGACGATGGTTTTGGTCCCTTCCTACAGATGACTAACTCCAAGTCGTTGGCAAGTGCTTATTGATTCGGACGGAAATATGCTGCCAAATCATTTGGGGGGATTAAACTAACAGCAGAAAGCCCCCATCACCGGACAGCAAAAAGCCCCCAGCTCAGTCAGTTCTAAGCACTCCAGAATTCAGGTCCTCCATTATTTGAAAGCCATTTATTTCCCAGTTTGTTCTTGCTCTTAGCCCTTTCCGCTCCCCTAGTTAAAACAAAAGTGCGCCGCCCCGGAAAGAACGAATAAGAACAAAGTTTTAACATTTCAATGTTGGCATCTGGGAATTACTCTCCCCATTGAAACCCGCATGGGGGTTAGGGGGGTGGGCGGAGGTTTCTCTTTGAGTCACAGTCCACCTCATTTGGGGGACCCTCGCAAGTCCTAAAAGGCACCAAATCCCGCTTGGAATCAGGGAGCCTGTTTGTATCATCAGATGCCTTCCCAGGACCTGAAACCCCCAACCAAACTCCGGGAAGGCCCCTGGGTTCCGCTCCGGGCCGCGGGGTGGGGCTGGGGGGTGTAGGGAAAAGACATCTAGTGCCCCGAGGTGAAGCGAAGTCACGAACGCAGAATTCCCCTCCGTGAAACGCGTGCCTTCTTAGGCACGGCTAGAACATTCAACGTGCCCACTAACTACGCTCAGTTTCCCGGTTTCCACCCAGTGGGTGCAAAGATGCTACTGACAGCCCTCAGATGTGACACTTTAGAACTCTTAGGATCTGTTCTATATGCCCAGAAAAATATGCCGGGCAGCGGAATTGCTTTCACATTCAAATCTGAGGCACATTCTGAGCCCGTTCCCATGGGTGGCTAGCAGGGGAGGTGAGAGCAGCCAGGCGCTTAACACTTGGGAATCTGAAGGCAGGCTCCCAGATGCGCAGGAACTTCCTAACCACAGTGCCCGCCTTGCACTGGAGTTCCCCGACGCGGTTTCAATAAAACATGATAGTATCGATCTAATCCTCTATACATTAAAATGAGGTTGTCACAGATTGTGTCATTAAGACCTCAGGAAAACAATGAAGACATTATTGGGTAACCCCCCCCCCCCCAGGCAAGGTATTAGGGGAATAAAACAATCTACACCACACGGGTCCTATTGAGATTAATGAAAAAATTATGCAAAAAAATCGCAATTTCATTTCCCGTGACAGGGCTTTTGCATCCAGAGTCAGCCTGGCCCTGCACCTGATGATTTATGAAACTAATCTACAGTGATCACCGCGGATGTTCTCAACTCAATCTTGTCCCAGCTCATTTTCTAAGTAAGTGTTTCTCATTAGTCCTGATAATGTTTTAATAGTGTTACCCATAATTTAGCCCCCAAGAATTAATAACAGGGGGGTGATATGGAAAAGCTGCTTGTGATGAGCTACACAAAATATAAACAGGTATGGTTTTTAATTAACCAGATTAGCTGTAAGGTTCTCTTGTAGTTAGTACATTACAGGCCCAGAGTTGCTGAGGGAGACCTCGTTTCCTGTGCCACGCCTGCCCATGAGGCGCAATGGAGACTCTGGGGGCATCTCGCCTACCGTGTGGTACCTTCACCTGTGAATGGCCCGATAGCGTGCCACTGACACAAGTTTATCTCCCAGCATCTTCTTGCCCTTGGGTTTTATTCTTCAAGGAATTGGGTCACAAATGTGAATTGTTGGCCCCAACAAAACTCTCTTCTGGAGTCACAGTCAGGCTCTTGGTTTAGATTTTTGGCTGTAGTGGGTCCTAGCTTCGTGATTCTATCTTAACTGGGCCTGTTAGATGCTGAGCCAAAGGAGAAATTTGACATGTGGAGTGATTTAAACAGCATTGTTTGAACGTAGCTGTTGAGGATACAGGTGACCAGTCCAGTGGTCAAGGATCAAGTGGGCTATGAGCCTATTGGTGATGGGATGCTGGTTGACCTAGCCAGGTCTAGATTCTTAGCCCCACCCAGAGGTCTTTCTTAGGGGGTTGCTCGTCCCAAGGACCCAATGCCCTTAGGACTCCATCTGGAGCTCTCTCATAGGAGGGCTAGCCTTTCAGAGAGGCCTGGCTGGATGTGGTTCACTTGGGCTGGTTCCAAGGCTGCCTGTGTAACTAGGGCAGGGAGTCTGGAAAGGTGGTCTGGATCACCCTGGAGGTTGGGAAGTGTAGTGAGATAGAAATGGGGCTGCCGGTAAGGAAGCAGGAAGTTTTAATGTTTTCCTTTGCTGTAGGCAGGCCCTGGAGGGCTGGGGTTTCTAACACCTGTGTGTGTGTGTGTGCGCACAAGACAGTCAGCATGAGAGTGCACCTTTCTTTTGCCTGTCTCCTGGGCAGTCCTCCAAGGCAAAGCTTCCTTGTCTGTCTGTGTTTGAGCAGAGAGAGGGTTTAGATTGTGCCTGGCTACCTGTGGATCTGGATTACCCTTATACACATGGGGTCCAGGATGTCCAAGATCACTGAGACAGTGGGGAGGGGATTCTGCAACTCCAATAAGGGCTCCCCACTGCCACTGTCCGTAGTCCTGAAGCCGTTTTGCGGGCCAACAATGGCTTTGGAGTTGACTGAGGTGCCCCCTTCTTCCTTCAAGTCCTTTCTTGGCAGAGATGGGGTAGCACTCATCCTCTCCGGTCACTGTGGTGCAGCACAAGCAGCCCTGGTGCAGGGTGACAACAGCCTAATGAAGGGGTGGACAGAGGTGCGCTGAACAGGAAGAGGGGCTGCCCAAGGCAGGGCCAGGGTACAGCCCCATCATTTTTAGGGAGCTGTCTACGTGGATCTCGTGTTTAAGAACGTTGGTTGATACCTTGGAAATCCGTCTTCCCATACTGCCCTGCTGGTGGCAGGGTCTTCAGCATGTCTTGGGATCTCCCCCTGTTAGCTAGTGGGTGGAAGTGGGCAAGCAAGTGGGTGTTCCGTGGCCAAGCATGGGACTCTCTGAGCTTGCTTTGGGGCCTTTCATTCCGTGTACCCTTCAACTGCGTTCAGCTCACAGGCTGTCATAGCAATTGGAATGAGTAGGGGGAAGCAGACCCCTGGTTGGGGCACCCAGTAGGGGCCACATAGGAAATACACAAAAAGGGCATAGGAGGAGGTGGAAAATTTAAAAAAAAATTTAAAAAAAGAACCTGTTTTCTATTTGCAAATTTAAATCAACAGAACAGCCTTCCCTGCGGTGTTTGTGTAAGAGTAGCAGCATTGCTGCTGTGTAGGCCATGAAAAGGTTGGTGCAGAGTTTAAAACTTCCCATTCTGTTAATTTCTTAAAGAACAGTCGTTCAGAGTCGCAACACAAAAGCTCATGATTTAATGAGGAACAGAAACAAAATCTCTGATTGTTGGTGTTTCAAACTTCATTGGCGTCCTCTGGCAAGCACAAGTTGATCCTCTGCGGCTTCAATCCCCTTTAGCCTTCAATATAAGAGTACATGCTGAATAGGGAACAATGGCTGGTTGTTATGTTTATTTACCCTGACTACAAGCTGGGTTAACCTCTTCAAAACAGCTTTACTAAGCCCGTTAACCACACCACCCAGATGACCTGTGGCCGCGTCTCTAATGTGATGCAAATCTCGCGGGGGACCATATGCACTAGCTCTGCTGCATTGTGTCTTCTCAGATGCTACAAGTTTATTGCTGAGGGCGCCTTGTCCGGCCCTACGTTTACAGGGGAAATGACCTCAGTGGCAAACAGTTAACCGGGAAAGAAAGGAGGAGAATGGACAGTCTTGTGTTTCCGCACATTTATTTTTTAATTGCTGGTGACTGGTGGCCCCCAGCATTCAGCCAGCACAAGTGTTCTCGTATTTAGCAGTTCACGTGTGTGCAGGCTGCATTTTGGTGGGGTGGAAAGGTTCACTGGACTCAGTTTACAGCTTTATTTCAACAAGGTATCTTTCTAAGCCAATATAATCATCAATGTTTGCCTATGCCGTCTCTGATGTCTAATCAGATTATTAGTGAGTTAGGCATGGCCCATGCAGGTCATTTTTTTTTTTTTATAAACCCAGTCTTTCTTAAAATTATTTATGGTGTCATCTGGACCAATGAAGAACGTGGGAACGTTATTCAGATGAAAAGGGTAAAGGGCGTATATGGATTCAGGAGAGATCCGTTTCATTAAAGCGCTAACTTCCTCAGATAGCTTGCCTTTCCCCACTCTCTTCTAGCCCTGAGAGGCCATAAATCTATATTGACAACACATTAATAAACAGCAATAAAATCACACGCTTGGAGCCAAAAGGGAGAAAGTGTATTTTTAGAGGAATCACTGGCCAGTCGGATACCAACAATCACCAAATCGTCATTAACAAGAACTATAAGTAGAATACGGTTCCAATCTGGCATACTAACAAGTTGCCCTGAGTATTATGGCTTGTCTTTCAGAAACCCACTGTATATGTTCAGCCCACCTGATGAGAGCTTTATTTAACAGATCATTTTTCCTTGATGGCTGTGGCAAGCGTAACAATGTTCCGGGCCTGCTTCAGTAATGGCATGTCGATCATACTCCCTTGGAAAGTAAAGGCTCCCTGCAAAAGAGAGAATACAAACTTCCTGAAAGAATGCATGGAAATTATAGGCTTCCTTTTCTGCACACGCTTGTACAACAAGAACATTTTCGACTCCACCTGAATTATACCGACTTTCCCTACCCAACTTTTGAGCAAGCCAGAACGAGATTGCAGAGGAAAGGCTTATTTTTGCCTCGCGAGATGAAGAAAAGCCCTGAGCATTTTATGGAGAGAAAAGCCTTGGGAACTTGCATTCACAACTCCTGAAATCCAGCCGAAAACAACTGTGGAGGAAAAATGGAACTACTTTCTAAAATAACTTCTGGAAGAGGGCAGAGAACTTGAAAAGGCAGTGATGTGCCCTGGCAACTGGGGACAGCTAAGAGAGAATAGCTGATCACGTTACTGGCACAGCGCTTCCGCCTAAGAGCAGTGCTACACGCTAAGGTCAGAAGACAGTGAGACGGTGGGACTGCACTGAGTAAAAAGACGTTCATCTATGGGGACAGACTTGCAGAGGTAATTAGAACGACAAGGTCAAGAGTTTGTAAGGGGGGAAATAGAACTTTGAAACTGGAAAGAACCTGAAATCTCCTAGTTTAGCACTGTTTATAGTTCCATTTTTGGACCGTCTACATAGAGTTGTTGTTGTCTGTGACATGTGATTGAGGCCTTGTCTTATTAGAGGACACTGAAGCCCAGAGTAGGTAAAAGGTAGTTTACGGTCCTACGACTAGGCTGGGCCAATAGTAACCTGGGTGTTAAGGACGTCCAGTGTTCATCATAGATCCCACATGAAACTAACAAGGCTGTCTCCAGAGCCTGAAGCGAATGCTGGGATAGTGTCGTGTTTTTAACCACTTCCATTTGTCCCTTGTAGCCCCAGCCCATCATCCTGGTTCTGTTTCCTTCTCCCTGGGGTGAGAGTGGGGAGCCGAATCGTGAGCTGGGGCAACCACGGACCTGGCGGTAGTCTGTGCATCCTGGGTTTCACAGCCACCTGGATTCCAGTCTCGGCAGTCAGTGTTCTCATCACTAAGCGGCTCTGCCAGGGGCCTGAGGGGCTCTCTGGAAACCCAGTGATGGGTTCAAGATCGCTATATGGAAAATTAATAACCCACAGAACACAGATGACCCAATTTTTCTGGCTGAAAGTACAGACTCAAAGCATTTACTGATGAAGATCGAAGACTATTGCCTGCAGTGTAGATTACACCTCAACATAAAATGAACATCATCACAACGACCAATAAGCAGCATTCTGCTAAAGGGAGAGAAGAGGGAAGTGGTCCAGGATTTCCTTTGCCTCGGATCCACAATGTACACCCAGGGAAGCTCCAGTCAAGAAATCGACACGCCACATGGGGCCAGTCTGCTGTAAAAGACTCTCTTTAAAGTATCAACAAGCAAAGATGTCACTTTGTACCAAGCCAGGGTATTTCCAGTCACCTTATGTGTATGTAGACTATGGACAGTGCATACAGAAGACCAACGATGAATTGGATGCATTTGAACTATGGTGTTCCCAAAGAATATTGGATATGACAGAGATTGCTAGCAGAACGAACGGACACAGCTGTCTTGGACGAAGTCCAGCCAGAATGCGCCACGGCAATAAGGGCGCTGAGGCTAGGTCGTGGATCAGTTATCAGGAGGACCCGGTCCCTGGAGAAGGCCATGGTGCTTGCTAGAGGGTCAGCTAAATGGCGGACCTTCACTGAGATAGACACAGTGAGTGCTACAATTGGTCCAGACATAGGAACAACCGTGAGGGTGCTGGAGGACTGGGGAGAGCTTCCTTCTGTCGTTCCGGGGGAGCTCTGAGTAAGAGCCCATTCAATGGTATCTAACAACTAAGAGATCTAGAGAATGAAGGCTAAAAAAAATTGGTAAGAGTATAAATGTCTTCAGAATTCAGCTTTGCATCGAGAGAATTAAAATATTACTAAGATTAAAATGCTCACAAACTGCCAAACTTCCTTTGTCTTACTTTGAGAAATATAATTCAGAACACCTGTGTGGCCTAAAATCCGGCACTATGTCACTCTCCAACCTCCTTTTTCCTATTTATAGCCCCGGATCGGCCTGTGCCCGGAGCTAATTTTGGTTATGACCATGATGGATTTTTACTGCTTATTTTAATTGTGATCTAAATACTTATTTGCTTTCCTGGCTACGTGCGTTGCTTTTCATTTGATGAATTCAGTTAGAAGTTCAGATGATGTCCCGTGGGTTAAGATTACATGTGGAATCGGGGCACGAGACCCCTGCTGTTTTACAAGGCAACAGTCAGGTGTCCTTATGGGAGTAAATGATGACGACCAAAGGCCTCCGAGTTCTCTGCCCACCAAGTGGATTATGGCCCTGTAAAACTGCACATCTGTCCTGCTACGGCTTACAGCATTGGCCGGAGGGGTGACATTACCATAGATGCACACAACCTCCAAACGATGCCCAGGCAATCAAAATGGCCGCTCGGGGTTTCCCTGCACTTGGCAAATGAAGACAGGAAGCTCATTTCTTTCTTTATTCATTTCTTTCTTGTAGGATGGTGTTATCATTGAGGATTTCTTTTCGTAAGCTTAATGCAGACAAATAATCGAGCATTTCTGTTTCTTGTTCTTTCACCTCCGCACTTTTCATCCTAACTCTTGATGATTTCATATGAATAGCCTCAGTCGTTCACCTATCAACACAGGCATTTTTAAAATAACACATGAACATCACTCTTTTATTAGGTACAAATCAGGAAATAATCCCTAAGCATGATGTATTCACACAGCCTTCGTAATGTCTATATAGTTCTAGGAAAAGCTGTATCGTCGGTGGGGTTCCCCGTCATGGTGGGTAGGTAAGGCTAACTGGGGACCCTGTTCTCAGTCAGCAGTGCGGTTTTAACCCTTGAGGGCGAGGTTACTTTAGGTTACCCTCCAGCAGCTTGGGACTGAGCACTGGGTCTAGACCAGAGCTTGTGTTTGGGATCCAGCAATGGATCAGCAGTTTCACCTCCTTCCTGTCCCGTCTCAACCCCCCTGGAGTCATGGAACGTGAAGCACTTGTGGGCCATTGTCACTGGTTTTAGTAGATTGGACTGGTTAAGTCCCCGGAATCGGGCAGCTCTGGTGGTGCAGTGGGTACACACTAGGCTGAACACTGCCAGGCTCTGTAGTTCGAAACCACCAGCTGCTCCCTGGGAGACAGTCGGGGGCTTTCTAAGCCTGTAAAGAGTTACTGTCTTGGCAAACCACAGGGCGGTTCTATCCTGCCTGTAGGGTGGTGGCTCTGTGTCACCATGGCCTCGGTGGCCGTGAGAAGAGCCTTCCAACTGGGGTGAGCAAGTTGGCCTTGAGTGGGGCCATCTGGATGTTGGGGGTGGGGTGGGGGGTTAAACATGACAAGTCCAAAGGGGCAAACATTGCATGCAACAGCACACGGGGATTTCAGTGGCAACAATTCGGACGATTCACAGAACTATGTGTTTGGGCCAATTGAAATTAGGCAACCAAGAGATCAACCATGGCCATCAACGTGGTCCTTGGAGATCTGGGGTGCGTAGCCAGTTTGCCTTTCTTTCTAAGTTTTTTAAAAAATTGTGGATTAGGTGGGGATTTACTTCTCAGATCATCATGTTTGCATTCAACAACTTAATTTATCACACCTCCCAATGGCTTGGATGTGGCTGGTTTTTAAAATGTGGCTTTACATGTGCGATGTGAACTGCTGGCTGGGCTTTCTAATGCAGTTTGTCAGAAAGCTATTTGGATTTGTAGGGAGGGTGGGTAGCATTTCTTAAGGAGTGGTTACAGGTAAGCGTCAGTTTCCCAGGCCAAAGCTTTCCTGAGAACGTGGCAGATTATTTCAAAAAGTTAAGTTTGAGGTACAAGGGCACGGATGTCTGTCAGCTTTATGATTCAGATGGGTAATTTTGTTTCAAATGCCTTTCAATAGTCATTTACTCGTGGTTAAATACCTTAACAACCACACGTATAGTAATAATAATAATAATAATAGCTATAATCAAGAAGCAGTTGCTGGTTCTAGGGGCTGGTATGCTTTATTTCAGATAATCATCACAGTACTATTATCCATCCCATTTTACAGCAGGAAACTGAGGCATGCAGAGAGAAAGTTGTGTAAGTCTTTGCTGGGGCTAGAAAGTACTGTGCTAGAGGAGAGCTGGCCCCTCCTGACCCCAGACCTATGTCCTTAACCCCTTACCGACTGAAAATTTTGGAGTATGTTCTGTGACTGCCTGAGCCGGAGTCACCCTAGGCCCGGTCCTCGACGGTTTGATACAGAAGTCTGGAGATTGCCTTGGCATTACCTCATGAGTGTAAGGCACATTCAAGTTTGAGAGCCTCTGTTTTTTGAGAACTTCTGTTATCCTTTGGTTAGAAATGGTTAGGTTGGCTTGATGGACAAATATGGGAATTTTGTACTTTTTGTAAACAACAACCTTTTCTTCTATGGCAGTGGTTCTCAACCTTCCTCATGCCGGCACCCTTTCTTTTTTTTTAAAATCAATTTATTAGGGGCTCATACCAGTCTTATCTCAATCCATACATCTATCAATTGTGTAAAGCACATTTGTACATTCATTGCCCTCATCATTCCCAAAACATTTGCTTTCCACTTAAGCCCCTGGCATCAGGTCCTCATTTCCCCCCCTCCCTCCCCCCTCTTTCATGAGCCCTTGATAATTTATAAATTATTATTTTGTCATATCTTGCCCTGTCCGATGTCTCCCTTCACCCACTTTTCTGTCGTCCGTCCCACAGGGAGGTCACATGTAGATCCTTGTAATCGGTTTCCTCTTTCCAACCCACTCTCTCTCTACACTCCCAGTCCTGTAGGGATCATCCACCCTGGATTCCCTGGATTTCCAGTTCCTATCTGTACCAGTGTACACCCTCTGGTCTAACCAGACTTGCAAGGTAGAATTCGGATCATGATAGTTGGGGGGAGGGGTGGGAGGAAGCATTTAGGAACTAGAGGAAAGTTGTATTTTTCATCGTTGC